GGTCCGAGGCTGTCGTTCCAGCCGAGTTCATCACTCCTAACTCGCGAATAGCTGCGTATGCTGTCGAAGTCAATGAAGAGGAGCGGCGAGTTGACCTCGACCTCGCCGAAGAGAAGCGTGATATGGCCGCGGCCAAAGTTGCCATTTATAAAAATATCCTAATTAGCTACTACAATGCTCGGGTCAAGCACTTGCGGTTCAATCCGGGAGACCTTGTACTCCGGAAGAACTCGGTCAGTCGAACTGAACCCCAGGGAAAACTAAGTCCCAAGTGGGAGGGACCTTACCGAGTTGTGGAGTCCAGCCAAAATGGATATTGTAAATTGGCGTACCGAGATGGTTCTCGGGTGCCCCGAACTTGGCACGCTGAAAATCTTAAGCTGTATTACCCTTGAGAGGTAAGTACTTCTAATTTTAAGTCTGGGGTTATTTCTCACTTCGTTTCATTTCATTACAAGTGAAAAATAAGGGGACAAAGTAGTAGTAAAGAAAATAAAACCGAACTCAATTAAAAAGATTGCGAAAGTATAAAGTTGATTGAATTGAAGCAAGGCCAAAAAGTACAAAAAAGGCCGAGGTCATCTGAAAATACAGAAAAGGGATGCTTCTAAGCATTCCCTGCCCAGGAGCCTTGCTCCCCCATAGTCTCTCCACCCGCTTCGGCCTCCTGCTGCCCATCAGCTCCTCCACTGGCCTGGTCCCCTTCAGTGCCATCACCATCTAATTCAAACTCTTGGAGCCATTTGTTGAATTCAGCACGCACTTCGGCTAGGTCTCTCCCAGCCCGGATGCCCTCAGCCATGCGATCGCACAGTTCTTTGGCATCTTCATTGTAGTGAGGAGCGCTTTGGAGGGACTCCAGCTGCTCAGAAGAAAGGAAAGGCATCGCATCGTTGATAGCCGAAGTGTAGCCGAGCATAAAGGATGGGCGTGTGAGTTCGCCAAGGTCGTGAGTAAAAGATTCCGACTTTCGGAATTCCTCCACGGTAGTGACCCCGGCCTTGTCTATGGCCGCCTTGGTCGACTCTTCTTCTTGGGCCCTTCTTCCTCTCTCTTCATCAAGGGCAGTTATCAGGGAGTTGTTCGCGACTTCGGCCTTCTTCCTTCCCGCCTCGGCTTTGTCTCGCTCCAACTCGGTTGCCCTCAGCTTCTTTTTCAGATCGGCAATCCTCTTCTGAAGCTCGGCAGGTGGCTCGTAATTCTGCATGAAATGCCCGTAACGTTGGAGCATCTCAGCAAAGAAAGTCATGGTGGAGGCCCAGGAGACCGAGGCGCTCTGCATCAGCTCGGCAGGAGTGAGCTTTCTCGCGTAGGTGTTATCCCGAGGCAGCACGGAATGCACCAGAAGCTCATGCGCGACCAAGGGGTTTTTACAGAGGTCGTTGACGTTGATTTCCCACTCCGGACACCAGTGCGCCCCGGAGTGCCTCTTGTCATCCCCGGCCTCCTTCGAGGGTACGTGATGGAGGTTGAACAACGATGACCCCGTGACAGGTTTCTCCGGGATCACGGTCACGCCTTGACCCCGAGGTGGAGTGGCTATTGTCACACCTCGGATAGGAACTCCTACCGGGATGGCGGAGGCTTTGGACTTTCCGGGCGGGGTCGAGGTGTGTGAGCCTTAGCCTACGATCACCACGGCAGGCTCGCGGCTGCCTGTCGCCGTGGTGGTCTTCTTAGTTGGCATTGTAGAGGGCTCAGCAGCATCCTTGCGCTTTTTGGGTGCCCTCTTTGCTACCTCGACATCTCCCGAGGTTATCAGGTCCGAAATTTTCGTCACTGCAACAAGTGAAAGAGAGTTAGTTAGAACTCAAGATGGATAAATAAAGAAGGGAAATGGAAAAGTACAAGGTCTTTTCAGCCTAGTAGAAATGAGGACGGGGTGATCCGAGCTGATTAAGGCTCGGCTGAGGCCGCCTTTCACGAGCACTACTTCGGAAAAATCCCAGCAGTTAATTCTGAGGCCCGACCCCGTTAACTTCTTGAAATTGGGCTCCTCTAACTTGCCCGGGGACGTCTCTTTAACCGCGGTGGGAGGCCTCCACCAGAACCCCCGGGGGAAGTCCTCAGAAGGGACGAAGAAGAAATTTTGTTTCCACTCCTTTATCGAGCTCGGAGCGTCCACTACTAATTTGGGAACTTTGTTCCCGAAGTAGAACCAGCCCTTCTCACTCTCGCTGTTTTTGAGCGAGTAGCAACGACGGAAGAGGTTGACAGTGGGCTCCATCCCCTGATGTCGGCAAAGCAATTGGAAGCCGACGAGAACACGGATGGCATTCGGGGTAAGCTGAGTGATTCTTACCCCCAGTACCTCAGGCAGTCCCGGAGAAATCTTGTTGTGGGCATCCTGAGCCCGGCTTCCAGTTGTTCCACGTAGATTGCTACTCTACCCCTTGGAGGCAGTGCGGCAGACTGGTGTGGCTGGGGTATATAAATACTGTAGTCCTTTCTCCAGGGATATTTGCGGACTACCTCGGTTATAGAGTCCCGCCCCAGGTTACTATTAAAGGCAGGCATCTGGCCGTAGTTAAGCGTCGACACGTTCGGAGGAGTGGATGGTTCTTGCACGCCCACGTCCCTAGGGACCTCATTCCCGAGGTCATCATTATATAGAACCTCGGGATCGATCTCGATCTCTTCGTTTTGTTCCGCCTCGGCATCTTGTTGCCCTAGCTTGATGAGACGCCTCAGCACCTCCCTCCCCGACGTCAGAAGCAGTTCTCTCCTCGGAGGGGTCAGGCCTCTCTACCTCGGTAAAATCAGGCCTCACCGTTTCATTGTGTGTGCGGGCCGTTCTGGCCATTGTTACGAAGAAGTGAACTTACTCTGAAGAAACTGCTTGGAAAACTGCCGAAGTGAAAAAGCGCAGGAACAGAGCTCTGAGGTGATTTGCGATTTTTGGTGAAGAATGAAACGGTAAAAAGGGCCCCTATTTATAGGCAACTGGGGGAAACCGAAGAGACGGCACCTTTGGGATTCCCTAGAGCACCTACTCTCTCCCTTCATTAATGAGGATCCTGTTCATCTGACGGCTGATTTTACGGATCCGATGTCAAAACTGACAGCTATCATTTCACCATTCTATTAGTCCGATCTATACAGTTCTGACGTGTCCTTACTGTGTTGCGTGTTCTACAAGCTCATCAGCTTCGGGAAGGAACGACCTCGGGAAGCCATGACCTCGCCCTTCTCGAAGCTTGGGGGGCTTGGTGAGGATGGTCATTTCGGCCCAGACGATCCAAGGCCTCTTACCATGATACCTCCCGAGGTGCCTACTCGGTACCTTGCTTATCAAGGACATCGTAACCTGTGTACCACATCGGCTTAAACCCTCAGGTCATTAGCTGAGGTGACGTCTGATTAATGGACGCCTACGCAAGATAGGAAATGACACCTGATACGCCTGACATTTGATGGACAGCTACTCTGACACACGCCGTCTGAAACTGGCAAGTGTCCCATCGAGCCTTTTCGTAAAGAGCAGTCAAATCCACCAGATGCACTGACTATCTCAGATCTTTAGGGACCCGTGATGCCAGTCCCTCTTCCCAACGCATCTCCTATAAATACTAGGGGTGGCAATTCGGGTCCAAATCAGGTTGGCGGGTCGGGTTCGGGTCAACCCGTCAGAAAATCTGTTGACCCGAACCCCGACCCGCCAACCCGTGACGGGTCAGGTATGCTGACCCGAACCCGAAAATTTCAGGTTGACGGGTTGGCGGGTCGACCCGAAATGACCCGAAATTTAATTTTTATTTATTAATTTATCACTGTAATTTCTAATAAAATCAATTTCTCACAAAACTAATTACATAATCAAGTAATAAAAATTTAAATAAATAATTCCAAACCAAATCTAAAATAAATTAAACACCGTAAAAGTGTTTTATCCCAAATAAAATATAAAATAAATTAAAACAGTATAAAAGTAAAAAATAATATAATATATTATTTGTCCAAATATAATAATTTCAACTTCACACAAATTAAATAAATTCATTTAGGATTAAGTAATTAATGCCTTTGAAAAAAAGAATAACTTAGTTTAGTTAGATAAAATTATTTTTATGTTTATTAAATTATTTTTAATTCGTAAACGGGTCATATCGGGTCATATTAGGTCACCACGGGTTGATTCGAAATTGACCTGTGGTCCTTTTCGGGTTCATCGGGTCCAACCCGATTCTGACCCGAATTCCCGAAACCTCAACCCAAACCCATTAATTTCGTGTTAGGTTCGTGTCGTGTTTTCAGGTCGTGTCGAAAATTGCCACCCCTAATAAATACCCAGTGTATCTACTAAGAAGGGGGGATGACCAATCTTCTGGTAAAACCACATTGATACTCTTTTTTATTTAGCTACTCTCTCACTCCCGCACTGACTTGAGTTTCGGAGTTCTACCGGGGGATTCAGCCCCTCTTGTAATCTAAGCAGGTGAACTCGTCCCAGTGGACCACCCAGGGTAACCAGGAGGTTTAGTCCAGCTGTACGAAATCACCTCTTCAGAAAACAAAAAATCCAGCAACTTTGGGTACGCGGAAGGGTAACATGCTGGGGAATAACAACTGCCTCGACAGCATGCAGTATGGACAATTCCCTGCCATGCTGGCTTCCTCTGCAGTCCGCGTAGAGACGTATCTTCCCGTGGAAACGTCCGAATACATTTATGAAGTGAATCATTGTGTCAAAGGTTCACATGAATGGTCAGCAGAATCTAAAATAACGTTTTCCCGGACAAGTCCTCAGATTCTAATCTAACCGCACGTTAAAATTCCTGATCCATTTATTTACCCCATGAGTGATGAGACAACACATTATTAATTCGTCACGTCACCAATGAACTTCAAAAACTTTACAGTGGGCCCACTCGCATCACATCTAACGGCAGTGATTAATCCTTCTCTCCTTCCATGTCCAGAATTTGGCACTACTCAACGGCCCTGATCAAAAGCTTCTTCACCTTGGCCCCACATTCTTTGGAGCCCTATTATTAATTAGTAATTACCGATATGGTTGCCAAGCACACTGGACTGGACACAAAGCTCCACTTTTCCAGATTCGCTGTGGAATTGATAGAATCGAATGAATGAAGCATGAGGAAGGACGCTGAAGAAATTTCAGCTCCACTTCTTACTAGTAAGCGCTTCTCTTTTTCACTTCCTTTAACCTCAACTCAACCGACCTCAATTCTCCACTTATCTTCTTTCTAATCCTTTAAGCATCTCCTGAATTTAATCACTTAATCGTCTTTTCCACAGCCGAGAAACGGGCTGAACCATACAAAGACCATGCCTCCGGTTCCGGAACATCTTCTCCGTCGTGCGAGCCGTTCGGAGACGAGAATTCTCCGGTGGAGCAGGTGGCTCTCACGGTACCCGTCACGGATGACCGGACCCTGCCGGTGGTCACCTTCCGGATGTGGGTCCTGGGAGCCCTGGCATGCGTTGTCCTGTCTTTCCTCAACCAGTTCTTCTGGTTCCGGCGGGAGCCGCTTTCTCATCATAATTCTCTCAACATTCTTCTATAGTAAGCTCATACTCTGGAACTTTAATTTAGTCAATTCATTTCTGTATTGGTTGCAGGTGTGCTTCCAACTTTTATTTAAATTCACAATTTTGTTCTTCTTCCGGAAAAAAAAAAGATTTTTTGGCTGAAAAATTGGGCTGGCAGATAGTTTTAATTGATCCTTGATCAATTTTAGCAGTGGTTTTTGTTTCATTGGCCACCAAAAAAAAAAAAGGAAAAAAAAAAAAGCAGTCGACTATATTTATGTTGCTTGACAATACTTGAAACTGAATGCAGTCAGAGAGTGGATGCTGATGGTGCTAATCTAAATGATTTTGAAGTGTGTAATAGACACAATATTGACAACACAGGACTTGTTTGTAAGTTCCCCCGCTCTTATTATTTCTTGTACTCCTTTTTAATACAGAGGAGTTTTATGTTAGTGAGGGGTTAGTAGTTTGCTTCTCTTTTTCCTTGTGCAGTCAACTTGTTGGTTGCATTTCCTGACCTGGAAACGATGTTAAGAAACATTCTCATGTTTGATGAGAGAGGAAAAGTTCGTTCGGGTCCTATCTATTTTATTTTGGATATGACAAGCGAAACCAACAAATAGATATGTTATTTGATGCCACTTGTGCTGCAGCAGTAAGATTATTGCGTACAAAAAACTTTTTAGAGGTTATAAAGTAAAAGCCTAGTTATAGAGAATAAGCCTATGTCCTTGATCAGTCTCCATGCAAATCCTTGTCAGTGATCAGAAATGTGATGTGATGCATAAATAATCAACCTTAGTTGTTCACATTTAAATTTTTATTGAATTGGAGCTAATTAAGGATACAATGCATTTGTGGTGGTTTCAAGGATTCAATTAGTTCATCAATTTTGTTGAAGTCTTTTCTGAGTCACAATAATAAGCTTCATGTTTTGGATAAGTTTTTTACAATGTAGGCTTTAAGTGCTATATGGTAATGATGTTCATGTGAACTGTTGCAGTGAAATATTTTTCTGTTTTGAACTTTAATAGTCTAAGTCACTTCTCGACTTCATAAATGACTTCTGCTTATCTCCCTCAGTGAAATGATTAGAGTCTTGCAAGCAGTACATCATTTCCAAACTACTACTATTTAGTTGAATAGGTTTGGCAATCTTGATATTCTTGTAGTAGTTTGCATGTACAGTGTTCTAACCTTCTTGTGCAACAGGTCAGTGGCCATCAGAAGATGTCCTTGCTTACTATTGCTTGTCAAATGCTGATAAGTTCAGGTTTGTTAGATATCTTATTTCATGTCCATCTTTTTTATCTTTTGCTACCATCATGTAATTCTGTGTATTCTCTCTTTTCATTTCATCTAATCTACTTTGTTAGGTGTAAGAAAGTAATAGAACTGGGATCAGGCTATGGCTTAGCTGGCTTAGTTATTGCTGCGGTGACACAAGCGACAGAAGTCATCATATCAGATGGAAACCCTCAAGTTGTCGATTGTATCCTGTTGATTTCTTCTTGTTAGAGATGTGGAACAAATCTTTATGCATTAGGTTGGCTGTGCCTCTGGCTTGTCTGCCCCAGTTCAAAATTTTATTTGGCTTTTTGTGGTTAGTCATCATCAAGTTGAATAGGGTATATGACTAGCTACTGCAAATTCGTCTGCTCTTTGTGCTTTCATGATTGTAAATTTGAAGTTATTGTATTAACTTGCCTGTGTAACTGGTTCCATGCTATTATGGCTTGCAGCACAACTAAAATTTCTGTTATTCCCACCTAAATGTCGCCTCAATGCTTTACACAAGTTCTGCTGAATGTGGGTTTCTTAACATCTAGATATCCAGCGTAGTATTGATGCCAATTCCGGTGCATTTGGTGATTCAATCGTGAAACCAATGGTGCTGCACTGGAATCATGACAAGCTGGTAGACTTTTCCAACAGCTTTGACATTATTGTGGCGAGCGACTGGTAATAAATTTTAATTGGATATCTGCCATGAAATTTTCAGTTGGATGTTTGTCTTTACTTCAAGTCCTTCATTTGGAAGTGAACCGTATAATTCTTTCTGAACCTGCAGAAGCCATGGACAATTTAGAATTCTTAACAGGTGAATCGGTTTAATCAGAATCATATTTGGCGATCTTGACATTTTGTTCTGTGTCTCAAGTGACATATGGAGACTGGAACAACATTCAAGCGCTTATCTCATTGAATGAGATCATTATTTTTAGAACTCTGGGTTGGCTCTTGAGCATGCCAGAAGCTTTTTCCATGTTATTCGAATGCCTATAAGCATGCAAATCATGTTTGCACTGTCTAGGTTTTCTTACCTCAACACTACGCTAAGCTCGAGTCGAGCATTTTGGCTTGTGATGGCAGCAAATACTGAGTGATATGTTCATGCTACTGCACTATTTTAAGGTAATTTTCTTGTTCATTAAGTTTTTATTTGCCATTCTTGCAGCACTTTTTTCAGAGAATTCCACAAAGATCTTGCTCGAACTATCAGAACCTTGTTAAGAAAAGAGAAGCCTTCTGAAGCCATACTTTTCAGCCCCAGAAGAGGTGATTCGCTGGACAAGTTTCTACTGGAAACAGAGGATAGTGGCTTGCATTATAACATTATTGAGATGTATGATTCAGAAGTTTGGAGGCGTCATCAGAAATTTGTGGAAGGTGATGACTCCTGGCCCAACTATGAGAAGGATCATTGCTATCCTCTTTTGGTCAATATAACTCAGTGAAACTTGTGGGTCATTTTCACCATTGGCTGAGAGCTCTTTATATAGTTATTGTACGCAAGGAGCTGCATGCACTTGAAGCTAATCTATCAAACTTTTTTTGAAACTATAGTCATCAGGTTGACCCACATGATTGGTTGTGTTCTTGGCTGCTCTTGCTTTTGTATGCAACGCATTATTTTCTGTGCTTAAGAAAGTTTTCTTCAAGACCTTACAGATTTGCTAGGCGTACGACTAAATCCGTGGGGTAAAGCTGTGTTGAATTTGAGAAATTACTTCTATTGCCATCGGGTGAGAATACAAAACAGGATTGTAGTAATATCGCATGCGATTAATTTCATAAAATTGGTCCAAACTAGCTCATCGGAAAAAACCTTTGTCGTTGACGTTTGCTTCACTTTCTTCATCGTCTATTTTCTGTGTTCCTTAAAATTTTGTAGACCTTGATGACAACTATATGTTTTTAGCAACTAAACTAATCTAAAAAGGCTTTGTGCTCCAACCCGATGTTTTCGCAAATATGAAGAGGCTTTTGTACTAAAATAAATTGGATCTTGCTCCCAAAAAAAAAAAAAAAAAAAGGTTTGCCATAACTAGAGGTGCAAATAAAACATCGCAAATATGAAGAGGCTTTTGTACTAAAATAAATTGGATCTTGCTCCCAAAAAAAAAAAAAAAAAAGGTTTGCCATAACTAGAGGTGCAAATAAATCAAGCTGAATCGAGTTTCGACTTAATCGAGTCGAGTCTCAACATAATTTCACTTTGAACTGACCAAGTTCGAGTCCAACTCGAGCCGTTTGATTCGTTTGCGAACCTAAACATAACGTCCTGTTGTATAATGCGTGTGGAAGTTATTATGCTAGCCGAACATCGTTCTCTGAGCTTTGGCAGGTGGATTCTCTCCTCTGATATGTGGTTACTAGAATTTTATCAACAATTCAACATCAATCAAAGACTCGGCTGGTCCTGCCACCCGTTGCTAGTAGTAGAAAATTTGAAACAACCTACACCGTCTAAAATGCTACCGCTAGTCGTCTTCTTCCTCTTATCTCAAACCTAAAGTAGGCTGCTTTCTTTCTTTTCTTGGCCGGTGAAGTGTCCCCTCCCCCCCCCCCCCCTATATGTATTGCAGAATAAGTAGGAACTGTGTCTTCTTGCAAATAAACAAATCAAAGTGTTTGCACAGAATCTCACACCCTCCAAAGAAAACAAAAAACAGTGTGTAGTATGCTAATTAGTCATCAACACAAATAATTCTAGCAAAAAGAGCTCATTTCGCTCTCTGAAAATACACACATAATTGGAGGTTTTCGCGCAACATGATCAAGGAGTACATTTCCCTGCTTGTCGTCATTCCCGATGCACTTTCGCACACTGAAAACAACGCGGCACATTCAATCGCGATCGCACCATTTGTATTTCTGTATGCAAAAATGGTTCTTCTCTTTGGACCCCTCCACTCGAACTGATCACTTCACGATATCGTTTGGATAGCTTTAGGCCACAAAATTGGATACTGCAATCGTTTTGGAGGTCACATTTCTTGTTATAGATCAGGACCTCATCGACAGTCTAATTTAATATTGGTACAAATTAACAACCAGCTGAGAAAATTGACAACCAGCTGTAAAATACTCCCACTAGCCAATTGTCCATAACACAGCCCTGGGGGACGTTTTATTACCGAGCACAGCGGAGGGCTTAAAGGCCAGTGCTTTTGCCCCCCAGTTGGTCTTCAGATGATTTTGAATGTTCTGAAAAGTCGCCTTCAAGAATTGTTATTGTGTTGAGCCATTAAAGATTTGCTTCTTAATCGCAACAAATTCGAAACATATATATATATATATATAGTCCATCTTTCGTAGCAATTAGATTGAAAAATTGAGGTAATTGAGAACATTCTCTTTTTAATAAGGCCGATAATTGCTGTGATGCGCAGCAGGTCTAACAATTCTTTGCTCTAAAATCATTGGCATAAGAAGTAAAGTAGTAGCATCAATTAGCAGCGAACCCTTTCTTCTGTTTGCAATCTTATCTACACACTGATTAGTGACTGATAGCATGATTGCATCGTTGATTGCATTTTGGATTTACTGCCCTTTCTCTCTTTTTCAGATATGGGTATTGCCGCAGCCTTGTTTGGACAGTCATTTTCCGCCGGAAAATTGCGTCCGTTATCACATTTTTCTATTACCTTTTTTTTTTATATATATCAAATAGCTATAGTAATTTTTCTACAAAAAATCATAAAAAATGCAATCCAAACACTCTTTTACGACGCCTGGTAAAGGCCAGAGCGGGCATGGTCCATGATATTTGGCTTCCTAGGCCGAAGTATATAACTCGGCATCCTTTTTTTTTTATATATATATATATATATAGAAAAGATGATTTCATTCAAATAAATCTGCACCGATGACTAAAAACACATCAAACAAACAAATTTTAACGCATTCCATCTAAATCGAGCACTGTCTTTTTTCCCTGTTAGCGTGTCACACTACTATCTGTCATACTTTCATCAACTTTTTGAACCAATTGGTCTCACATTAAATCGTTAACCCCGGAAGCTCGATAATCTACTGTGTATGGCAACTTTTCATCCATTTTCCCCCATGACTTAATAGCAGTAAGGCACTGTGGACAAATTATCTTTCGCTTCCCAAATACGCAATAATTGTTTCACAAAAGGATCTTTCCAGCAACCGCACAGCTTAAAGCAAAAGGAAAGGCAAATGCAGACAAAACATCCGCATTCTTGAGTAATCCATCATTAAATTGCTGCCCACCAAGCTAGCTTAATAAGCTCAGAGCTCCACCACCAAAGTGCTGCTTTGCCAACTAATTAATTCTACACTTTGCCATTAGCATTCACTTTTTCTTAGTAGTGTGCATTCATGATGAGCGAACTTATTTTTTCACGACAAAGTCTGCGTAGTGTAGCACCCCACACACACACACACACAGAGAGACACAGATGTATGTATATATATATATATATATTCATTGCTCCTAACTTTGACATCATGGCCATGATAGTGACTAATTATAGAATCCTATATAAAAACAAAATTGCTTATCAACTAATAACATCCTTTGGTACGAGTGGAAATGCTTGGCTTACAATCGATTGTCGTAGAATGGCCAGAGCCTCTGGCCCTTTTTTGCGAGATTCCTGGACACAACTGACTACTTTATAATGTCCTCTGTACTAAGTACTGTGGTGTGGTATACTTTTTGCCTTCGGTGAAATGAATTTGGGACTAAATCATAAATAAAATTCTATGCTATTGATGACATGACCGTCAACACCAGCACCCACAACTGGGCAGCCCCGAAAGGGTGGTGCCTTCTGATTGAATCCCCAGTGGCCAAATTTGCCAGCCATGACCCATCTGCCAGCATGGACTCCTGCACTGGACCCGAACCCGAACCCGACCCTGATGCTGACCCGGATCCAGACCCGTCCGCCGCACTCCCCTCTGGCTTCGAGGCTTTCTGGCTGTTGAAGAGATGACCCATTATTACTACCATTACACATCCAAATACGAACGAAAAGGACCCAAAACGATAAATTATATAAATTCGGGGAAAACAATTTGTCAAAATTGAATTTTGGATTGTTTTCCGTAAATTGAAAAGTAGAAACAATTGAAGGGTACAAATGCAAAACTGCTGCACTGCTACGCAACGCAAGGCAACGGAGCAGAGTACCTCGAAGGGGAAGTGGGACAAAACGTGACGGTGTAATCGGCGCCGGTGCACGTGAATGTGCTGGTGGAATCATCGAAAGCGTAGCTATACGATTTCGGGCACGCCGACTTGAATATCTGCGAGTACACCGACGGGGAACACGTGGAAGGCGAAGCGTACTGGCCCTTACAGCAGTACTCCGGGGTCCCAAAAGCGTCGCAGGCGCTCCGGCACGCGCCGCCACCTTCAATTTTAAGCTCATTCGGGCACTTCGAGTTCAAGTCCTCGGTGCAACCCGTGGAGGCACAGGAGCCCGACCCGCCACTCCCTTCGACGAGCATGGGCAAATTGTACCCGTCTACTAGGCTGACGTCATAGAAGTCCTGAGACCCCGACCCAAGCGTGAACTCCGCCAGGGTTGCTGGGGTGCTCGCTCCGGCGCCGTCGCATTCAATTTTGCCCGACCCGCAGTCTCCCGTGGCGCACGACCCTTGACCCGACCCGTCAAAGGTGCACCCGGTCCTGCCCCAGAATCGACCCGACCAGCCCGTCGGAGCCTGGAATGAGCGTGATGCGGCCCTTTGGAGCTCGAATCCCGTGCTGCCCAGTCCTGAATTCCCTAAAATTCCGGGCCATACCGTTTGCTCACACTTGTTCACAAAAGTAATTGTGGCCCCTGAGACGCCTGTACATTAAATAAGTCTCTGGTAAAAAGTTCACCACCTATTATAAAAAAAATATTCATAATGCTTCAGCATTTTAATCCGGCTTTTCTAACAAAAAAGAAACCAAATAAATAAAAAGTCTTTTCTGTATGGAATTAGAATGCAGAGCCTAAAATTGGCTTAACATCTGACTCTTCCACTAGCTGTAAAATGTCAAAATTTGTTTCCTGCACCAAAAAAGTTTGTCGAAGTAAAAATACTGGCCGCGCTAAACTCACTAGTACAGTACTGTAGCTCACCTTTGCTCTTACAGATGCAGAGCACGAACAGGCTCAGAATCACGGTGGAGGAGGCACCCATTAAGTTGATTGGTCACTTTTTGACGTTTTTTTTTATTTCGTCAATGAATGGTTGAACAAAAAAGTCGTAAGAATGTAGTACAAACGAAGAATAGGTACGTGATGAGTTAGGGGGTTGTTAAAGTGAAATTAATGAACAAGTCTTGCGATGAAAATGGCGGTCATGAGGCTGTAGTGGTGGGTTGGGTGGTGAAGAATTGGTGTAAAGAATGATAATGGCTGTGGTTTTGATGAGAGAGAGGACGGTGGTGTAGTAAACAACCGCAGATGAAGAAAAGGGTTAGCACCGCCCATGCAAAGACCTTGGATTGAGAAAGCTAGCGCAGGAAGTTTCCGGAGTGGCTTTCTTGGTGCCTAATGGGGGACATGTCGTATGTGGATGGATGCCAAAAGGGTTGGAAGAGAGTGAATGGTAGAGGGAATGTGGCTATCGGGTTCGTCGGGCTCGTGCATATTTATAAACCCATGCACTGAAGAAGTAGTGGTGGGGGACTGTG